TTCTATAATTTGTAAGACAAAGAAGCCAATAGAAAAAGACATGGAAGTAAGGCTTTTAACTCTTACAATTTCCATTTAGCCTTTTTTCTTTACAAGGCTCATGGGATCAGAAGATGTCCCGACAGGCCCCTGCGTACCTGAACTGAGGTCGTAATCAGGGTATAGCATCACTGTGTGGAACACATGGGGGGCGTACTTTTCCGCGGGGAAGGGGTCGTATTTGGTTGTTGGGAGAGGTTGGGTCGTATGTGCCTTCAAGAGAAATTGCTGTGTTGGGAGGAAATTTTTCCCGGCTGTTGAGTTTTCGCGTGATTTTTCCTGTTTCATAGTACTATATACCACTCCCCCCCACGACAGCAACATTTTTGGGGGAAAAGCAGGAAATTTTTCGGGGGATTCCGGAAAAAGTGGAAGGAAGTTGGAGAAAATCCAGAAAGTTTTCCCACTCGAACTTATTTGCCTTCCCTCACCCCCGCTCGACGGAAAATCTTTGGGTGAAAAACTGAACTGGAAAATGGGGGAAGTGGTAGGTAGGTGTTGGGGAAGAGGGGGAGGGTCGTACCGAGACCCTCAGGTGGGAGGGTCGTACCTACACCACCATTTCACACATCACGATGCTGTACCCTGGTCGGAATAGATACATGCACATGCGTAACCCGTTCCACAAATTTGTCCGCCCTCCTGACAAACTGGTCAAAAACCGGACCTAATGCCGCACACCTCGTTCTTCCTCCGACCGCTACACATTATAATTGACTCGCCTAATCAAATGAGTTCACCCGTACGTTGAGCATATTTCCAAGCTTCAATCCGTGAAACCTTCCTAAAAGGGTCTAGTTCAAGTTGTATCATCGGTCACGTTCAGAGGGGCATCATAAAGTGAAGCACGAGGTTTGAGGTTTAAGTACTACCATAGAGTACCAGTAGCCCCGGCTTCCCGCTCAGTGTGAATCCCACTAGTTTGCCCCTTCGAGTGCCGTACTCGTGGTCCTTGTCGGGGGACATGGTAAGCCATTACAGGGATCGACAAGTGTCGGCTTTTCGAGAGGCATAACCCTTCCACTGCTGCAGAAGGAAGAACCTCAGGTCCCACTCATTACCCATTCGTCCTTTACTCAAGCGGGAACCTGCAGAGAATCCTATCCTACTTTCCAGTAAATAGTAAGCCAGAATCCCACCAGGCGCTCCACTTCCGCCCAAACAACCCATTCGATCAGTGACAAACATCTAGTCAATCAGCGCCTCAGCAGCTAGAATGCAGCTTATCGACCAGCTACTTTAGTAGGCGAGTATAGCTTGTCTGATCATCGCCTATCCATGTGTTTAGCATAGCCCACCTCCTTAGCCTAAGCTTTTGCATACTCAATAACGGGTTGGGCGTAGGAGGCGCCATTCGGCTTGGGGAGGGGCATTTTGCAACGTCGTTAGTTTCCTTTGCTAGTTCCCTGTTAGTACACGTCTCACCAAGATGATGTTGTTGACTCTTGTCAAGTGTTAACGAACGTGTCATGCTATTGCATCGCTTCACAGGAATTTACAAGTATCTAAAGGAATCATTTGCAGTGATCGTTGAGAACCAGCAAATTGCCCCCACCAAGCCGAACTGCGCCGAAATGGGGTATAAAACTAGATTGTCCTCTTCTTCTATAAGCGTGACTTATTGGTAAGGTCACTTAACGTAATGTTACACCGATGATTAGGCGCTGTAGTGACGCACTAGAACGTTGCCAAGGTTTTCTGGGTTTTTCATGCATGGACGCAGAACGGCGCAAAAGGGCGGCCCGTCGTTGAAACGGCCAACGAGAAAACTGGAATCTTTCAAGAACTTCTAGATACTTTCCGTTGTCGTCGAAGTTTCTCAACGCTCTGCAATCGTAGCGGTTCCGCAAAGAGTCCTCCTGGAACCTTCCACGTTTCTCGCCATTGTTCTTCTTTGTTGATTTTTTTCGTGATTCAACGTTTCGCACCGATTTCGTTCCGTTTCAACTAGTTACACCTTATTCATTCGTTTCCAGACATGCTTCTCATCGTCTCTTTAATAGTAGTGGCAGGGTTGGCAGCGGCAGAAGAAGAGCAGAAACTCTCCTGGAAGGTTTGTGTGTATCCGTCAGTAAAGGAAGTGACCACTCGGTACTGCCTTGTGCTGGCAACCGGTGAGACTCGTTCTTCCGTCTAGTGCCGAAAAATGGTTCTACTGCCCTACAAATCTCGTGTAATTAGCTGATAAAGCATAGTGAAAGGCACATTCCACGTTCATGGTTTGGGCGGAGCCACGCCTGCCAATTTCAGTGTGTCTCTCCTACTCTCAGTAACGTATCTATGAGGAAGGCCTTATAGTATTCTTGGCTCCGTTCAGAATCATGGCATGGACTGTCTTTAGCTCATGAAAACTGTTAGTCTGCATTCATCCTTTGCAGCAGCGTCCAGCAGCGTCCGTAAGCGACCAAGAGCGTCTCAAGGGCTAGGGAAAAATAGGTGTCGATCTAGCGACCAGCAGCGTCTAGGAGTGCAGTGTATGGGGAGCTAGGAGGGTAGTAGACAGCTGGTAGAGAGTATGCAGAAGTAGGAGGATAGCTCTCTGCTATCCCCTTACTTCCCCATACCCTTCACTTCTGCTCGTCGCTGACGGACGCTGGTGGACGCTGCTGGTAGGCGCTGCGTGGACGGTGCCGCAAAGCATGAACGCAGCCTTATCCCGTCGCCCTAAAATACGATGACCGGCATTCGCTTGCTCTATACGGCCCTATTTTGGCCGATTTGGGCTAGCTTTTTATCCCAATCTCTAGCGATAGGCAAATTAACTATGGTACCTCCCGGCGTTGTTTAACATTTTATGAAATACGATGGCCACCCCACTCCCTGAATCGGAACTCCTCACCATCGGAGGAGGTGACATGAATTTGACTTCCCGGAGACTTAGGTGTGTTCATACATTGCGGCGGTGTCACCCGCGCCCAGCAGCGACCATCAGCGTCTCGAGGGACCAGGAAAAGTATGCATATCGATCTAGCGTCTACCAGCGTCCACCAGCGACCATGAGTACGGTATTGTGTAGTAGAACGGTGCGGTTGCACACGCCACAATTTCCGACGCCTAATCCAGCTGTCTGCTCCCTCCTACTTCCCCATACTCTCTACTCCTGGTCGCTGGTGGACGCTGGTGGACGCTGGCAGACGCTGGTAGACGCTGGATCGATATCTATACTTTCCTAGTCGCTGACGGACGCTCGAAAAGCTGATGGTCGCTCGTGGACGCTGCAACAAAGTGTGAACGCGGCCTGGAGACCAAAAATCTCCCAAAAAAACCCAAAAATTGAAAACTGGGGCTACCAAACGTAGGTAGTGCCCGATAATCTCCCCAAGTAACTGACAATCGACAGATGGTTCGTTTGTTTCAGGATGATGACGGTCTGGAGGTCAAAATTGTGAAACCGATCAAGAAAGAAAAGTGCAAATTGGTCTCACAAGAGGGTGATGTGGTCGACCAGTTCTACAGACTCGTCGATAAAGACGGCAAGGAAATCGGTAGCAATTTCGGGAAAAAACCGTAAGTGAAACCGCCCTGCATCCTTCAACTGCACGGCCTGGTCTCACAATTTTTTCCCTTTGCAGGTACACTTTCAAATTAGGAAAAGGACAAGTGATCCCAGGAATGGACCGAGCTATGATGGGGATGTGTATTGGCGAGAAGAGAAAAGTGGTGATCCCAGCGAAACTTGGCTTTAGCGGGTAAACTCGATTTTATGGTCTTAATGAGTCTTGCTGAGTCTAGCATTTCCGTTTCTGAACTACGTGAAAAGTATGGATATCGATTGAATAGTTATCAATTCAGTGACAACGCCTTGAAGGACCAAACACTCTACTATACCGTGCAGTTGGTCGACCTCTTCCGAGCGGTTCCTGGTGACAAGTGGGAAACAGATGAGGGCATTACTATCGAGGTAAGTGCCCTGTCGGTCTAGGAACGTTTTATCAGTTGGTCCTGGGAATCACAGACCTGGAGGGTATCGCATCTTTGACTCGACCTCTTGCCAAGAGAATACTGATGGGTAGCACAAGAATGAAAGGAATGTCCCACGAACCGGATCTTAATTGGCCCACCTCCATACGTCTTGATTGCCTAGCATCCAATGAGAACTATTTCGCATGACCCAATCAGACTCCCCTAACTTATTGTTCCCGAATTGCTCCCTCCGACTTTTGATGAGGTTGAGAGGCAACTGATCATTCCCACTGGAGCCTAATGGGATGCCATTCGTTTTTTTTGTGAGGCAATGATGGTGTAGTGGCAAGTCGTCCTGCTCACGAGACATGCGATCAAGGCCCCCCCCCAAAGCCCTCCATACCCTTGCCCGAAATAGAGCTAGATTATGCAAAAGCTACTTCGGAGAATCCCACACTTGGCTCGTACATCGGCTGGCCTGTGCCGGTCATAGCATAAGCAAAATCGCTTGTGACTTCTAGGCGACTCGCAACAGAAGTCGAGTGCATAGCGTGTCCCGACAGGAGATTGGTCCAATACTCCCCAACCCTTTTCAAGGTTGGAAAACCTGCTATGTGGAATAGAACATGAGCAACAAGAGCGCCTCCTGTCTCTCATACCGCATCAGAAATCCCCAAAAAATCAGGCTGTATGTGGTGGGCGGAGCTGTCCGGTAGTGGGCGGAGCAACCCGTTAGCCGCGAAGAGTCATGGCACCTGTCGGTCAGTCAAAGGAGCGAGCGTGGAAAGAAAAAATTGCTGGAAATGATAGCTATAAAAACAATATTGAAAGGGGTT